CTGATGATGAATTAATCGAAAAAGTTCGTTCGCCTAACTTGACTTCTTGAAAAACGCATATTATAACGTTTTGTGCATAAACACTGATGGTCGGGGTCGTCATTCAAATAAGAATTGAAACAATCCTAGCAACTACCGATGAGACGCGCAAGGGCAGAGGCAAACGGGGGACTAGAGCAAGACACGCGGGGCCCCAACAACAACAGCAACAAGCGTGTTCAATACAAACGAGAGCAATGACCACTGTCGCATCCCAGCACCACCCTCCCCCTTCGACGAGGTGAGGGTGAGAAACACTGGGTCGCAGAACGCCGATTGAAATCTCCTCCTCCCCCCCCCGGCGGCTATCGGGCACCAATTGACGCAGAGCGAACACAATGCCAGTTTGACACCCATAAACACTGTAAGGTGCCGTACAGAACCCACCTCCGACGATGGAACCCTGTTTGATTCCGAAACAGCAGGAAATGAAACCTATTGTTCGCGTGATCACCTCTTCTTGCCTGGGAACAGGCATTTTCGCCTCAATCAGTAATAGTACTCTATATACAACCGAGAGGCCATAGGCCTGTAAGCGGAGTTCACGTCGGCAGCACTAGTTTTTAACCAAGTTCGGTATGTCTCAGTCTTGATATGAAAATTTATCGGTATAATTACGAAGTTATCTTCATGTGTCATGTCAAACTTCCTGGCGCTCAAACGCGACTATTATTTTACGCAATCGTTTAGCAAGCTTGTTTTCGTACAGATGAGATGTAGGTAGAGTTTGGACCCGCTGTAAGTAAGAAGAGGGACCGTTACGACATGTGATACAGCAAACAGCTTTGCACTTCATGAAAAGTAATGGTGAGTTTAAAAAGTTTGGGGAAAGGCCTGTCTTTTGTGGTTTTATCTTAAACTCTAAATTTCGACATAAAGTCGACATTGGTTTGTAGCATAGTTGCAGGTACGTTTTGCACAGGTATTGTTCCCTATTGCTTGTATTTGTCAACTTTATTACCATGCGCAAATCTTTGTTCATTTAGATCATTATTATCAG